AAAAATAATCTGTGACCAAACAGTTTTTGAAATATGTGACCGTGTGACCTATAAATTTTGATATGTGACCAACTAAATTTGAAATATGTGACCAAAGAAATAATTGTGACCTACAAAATTTTTGAACTGTGACCGTAAAATAATATGTGACGTATAAGAATTATTATCCGTGACTGAAAAATAATATGTGACTAACTAAATTGTAAATCTGTGACCAAAATGCGACCAGTGACTATAATAATACGTGACTCTTTAAAAATCTGTGACCTCGCGCGGAATGGTCGCCGGAATCGGAGCAGTCGTCGAAATCGGAGCCGGAGAAAAGTGGTGGTCGGAATTGTCGTCGGAATAGTCACCGGAGTAGGGGGTGGTGCATGTAGGGTGGGTTTATTATATTATATTATATTATATTATATTAGAATTAAAAAAAAAACCTGATTTTTGAAGTTTCAAACTATAAACCTTATTTTTGAATTGGTGTAAAGAATACACCTTATTTATGAATTTTTCCCTAAAAAAATTAGAATTTTAGTGGGTTAATTAGATCAAAGATCACTGAATTTTTTACTAATCACATCAATAATCGCGGACTTCATTTTCTTACAGTATTAGTCACTCAAGTTTTCAATTGTCACACAAATGGTCCGTCGATAAAAAAAATTAACGATAAATCAGATGTGGCACCATTAAAAGTCAACGTGTCATCAAACTACATTATTATTACAACAAATCAGCAAAGATTTATGGAAAGTTGAGAATCTTTATCTCTTTGTATGCACACGCACACACATATATAGACTCAATTGACTCATTGTTAGGGTAATTAACTTACCTTATTTCTATAAAATTCTACAAAATCAATGCTTAAATCGAAACAGCAAAATAATTGGGTTTAGCCAGCAAAAGAGAAGAGGCTAAGATCATAGAATGATGTGATGATGCATAAGCTCAGAACCTCTCAGATTTAGAGCAGAATTTAAAAAAAGATATACATACATACATACATATATATATATACAGAAATGATCTAATGAGCACCAGTGCTCTTCTTATCCTAAGCACCGATGAGTTGAAACATTAATTCATTGGTGGAAATTCTGTATATATATATATATATCTGTGAGTTCCCCAAATTATGAATGTGTTGTCTTAATAGGTAAAAATAATAAACAAAAAGGAAAAGTTAAAAGACCATTTTGCAATTTATATTAACTTTGTTCTCAACTTGAGTTTTTAATGGAAATGATCCATTTTGCCATTTATGTTATAATTTTTAAAAAAATAATAAACAGAAAGGAAAAGATAAAAGACCAGTGGAAAAACTGAATTGTGAAGCCCGCAGGGTCAGCACATCCCGATTTACACCTCCAGACATTGTCAGTTGAGATGTAATGGTTAAGCATGCCAACACAAGGCTTTTAGCACATTCAAGATTCTAGCCCAAGGGGCAGATTACCTTAAGACAGGTAACTGCAGTACCAGAACTAAAGATAAACATTTGACTGGGATTTGTGATTTTATTCATATTCTACCATCTTGTTAGAGCTTGACATA